CACACACACACACACACACACAAGTGACAAAATGCACACACACACAAAGTGACAAAATGCACACACACACAAAGTGACAAAATGCACACACACACAAAGTGACAAAACGCACACAAGTGTGTGAGTGAGCACCTCTAAGAATTTTCTTTCTGGTGCCCAGTTCGGGCGTTCTCGCGCCTTTTCCAGTGTCTTTTTGGTGTGTGTGTGAGTGAGCACCTCTAAGACGTGCTATATAGGCAATGTCCGTTTGTTTGGAGTGCCTGCAGCAACACGATCAGGGGTGCTGCTGGGTTCATAATCCCTGTTTCTGTGTTCCTTGAGTGATTCGTCGAAGTGGCTCCTCAGCTCCTACGGTGGTGTGAAGTCACCTACACTCTGCGGGGTTCTAGTTTGTGGTGTGAGTAGCGATGGAGCGCCTTTTGGTCCGTGTTGGACGTGTGGTCCGTGTTGTCGGTGCTGCTCCGCTGCCTGGCCGCCAATCCGCTTGCCGTTCCTTTCCGCGTTGCTTGCCTGTTTGCCTCGTAGTTTGGCTTGCTTGCTGCCTTGCTGCCTGCTGCTCATCGTCCCGCTGTTGCTCGCCTCGTTGTTCGGCTGCCTTGTGTCTCCCTACCATGTACCCTCGCTGCTTTTATGCCTCACTGCTTTCTTGCCTGCTCACAATGGCGCCTTGCTGCTTACCCTGTCGGTTGGCTCCCTCACGCTTCGCTGCCTTGTCACCGCTTTTAGCTTCTTATAGTCGCCTATTTTGTTGCCTCGCTGCCTCATGCTTCGCTGCCTTGTCGTTTGCCTGCCATGTCAATGTTCTTTGTTGCCTCACTGCCTTCTTGCCTCGCTGCTTTGCTGCCTTGTTGCTTGCTGCTCATAATGTCGCTGCCGCTTGCTTCGTTGTTTCGTTGTTTGGCTGCCCACCCACCTCACCCGTGCCCTCCAGCCTATGTGCCTTGTTGCCTCCCCTTTGGCTTGGTAACTAAATGTGCATCGCAGTTTACATAATTCTCCCTGGAACATACGCCCTGCTTAGCAATTTACCCCTTGTTAGCAATTTAGAACTGTAAAAAGAAGTCCACGGTAACTAAATGTGCATTGCGGTCACAATTCTCCCTGGAACATACACCCTGCTTAGCAATTTACCCCTGGTTAGCGATTTCAAACGTAGAAACCCAACAAGGAGAAAAGTGCATTGTGGTTACAATTCTCCCTGGAACATACGCCCTGCTTACCAATTTACCCCTCGTTAGCAATTTGGAAATTAGAAACCCAACAAGGAGAAAAGTGCATTGTGGTTACAATTATCCCTGGAACAAACGCCCTGCTTACCAATTTACCCCTCATTAGCGATTTGGAAATTAGAACCCAACAAGGAGTCCATGGTAACTAAATGTGTGTTGCGTAACTTGCGTTACAATTCTCCCTGGAACATATGCCCATGCTTAGCAATATAAGTTGAGTTATTTAACCGCGGTAAGTTTATTTAACCACGGTAAGTTATTCAGAACCCAACGAGGAGATCAGATGGTACTACCCCAGTTGTTGCTCAGGAAATAGCCGTAGCTGTCAACAAGAATAAGCAAATGGAAATGAATAATCATAAATAATGTACATCTTCTCGAGTAAAACAGCCCAGGTCGTACGCTAAGGTCCTCAAGCAATCACTTAGTGGGAAAGGAAGTGATATCGAGCAATTACAACCAGGAGGTGGGCTTGGAAGCAGCCATCTTTTGAAGAAAGTGTAATAGCTAGATCACTGGTCTAGCTTCGTCGTGCCGAAGATAGATTGTTGAGGCGGCATGCAGACTTAAACAAACTGTGGTTAGCGAGTGGGAAACAGAAATCCTCCGCAGATAGATTGTTGAGGCGGCATGCAGACCAGTACACCACCAGTACACCACATATCGGCCCGTGGGTGTCAGCATGAAACCCGCACCACTTTGGAGGCCGCCAATTTTTTTATTTTTTTTTTTAACGGCGAGCCTGGGTGCACGGCGCCTCCGAGTTTTGCTTGTGGTGACAAAAACTTTCTGCAAGGCTGGGGCCGTGTACTCGGTTTAAACTGTGGTTAGTGAGCGAGAAACAGAAATGCTCTGGAGATAGATCGTTGAGGAGGCATGCAGACTTGAACTGTGGGAAACGTTACACTTCTGAATGACCTAGGGGGGGGCGGTCAGTTCGATATTGATATCTCAAGGCCGTCACCCTTCGTTTTCTTTTTGTCTGAAAAAAAAAAAAAAGGAATTTGATCAGCTTGTCTCGGCTCGGTCTTTCACATTTGGCCAGGCAAGCATTCACATTCACATCTGTTAGCAACTTGAGAATCGGTGCGACTCACAGATTGAACCAGAGAGACACTGTACCTCTGCCAAACGGGTCTTCGCTTTCACTCTCTGCCGTTCGGAAGCTGGCAATTTCGTCGCGGCTTCCGGCAAAACGTCAACCTCAACTGCCAACTCGTCGAGCAGTTTGCTAACCTCTTCCTCCGTCTCTTCTTCTATATCATCGTTATCGAGAACAGATTCCATGGTATCTTCCACCATCTCCTCCATGATACCAGCCTAAACACAATCGGGCAAACACAAGCGGGCAAAAACACAATCAATCATCACACAACATTTCAGAACCGACAAATATTGTCGTTTCGGGCGTATCATCACACACACACACACCTGTTCTTCGCCAAAAAAAGAAAAAGAAAAAAAAAAAAAAAAAAAAAAAAAAAAAAAAAAAAAAAAAAAAAAAAAAAAAAAAAAAAAAAAAAAAAAAAAAAAAGAAACACAAGCTCAACAGACAACCAGCAAGCGAACACGATCATCGCAAACTCAACAGACGACCGGGGCAAGCAAACACAATCATCACACACAACGTTTCAGGCACGACCGGCACGCAAAAACACAACCATCACACACAACATGGGAGCCGACAAGCTCAGGCCGAGACAAAGCCTTCTACCGCTTTTTTTTCTTCCTCCAGTACGGACAGCGCTGGAGGTATTGTCTGCACACACCCGCATAGCAATATCGCTTGCTGCCAACCCACTGGCTACCCGCACGCATCTGCTGAACGAGGATGCAAGAAAAAGTCATTTTCAGCACGAAGACGGTAGCGAAAACCGCATGAAAAACAACCGGGGGCTCACGTAAATAGTGAAAAAGCGACGAACTGGTTTGCCCAGGCAGGAGCGTCGCGGTCATATTGCCTGCATCTGGCCTAGCAAATGGATACGGATGGCATTGACGCCTCCATTGTAGTACTGGATTTTCCGAGACACATAAATGCGGACAAGAAATTTGTTTTTTAAACTTTTTATGAAACAAGTCCGGCAGTGTCACACTTTCGGTTTGAAAAGCGAAAAAGAAACACGTGTGCGCAACAACGTCGGGTGGATGTTGAAAAAGGCGATATCGGTAAGAATGGCTGTGGCCCATGTTATTTTCTTGCCCTTTTCAAACTTGGCGCGCGAGTTTGTTTCCCTTGTCAAACTCAGCGCCCGGGTAAAACGGGCTAAAAATGCTTTCGTTGCCCTTTCAAACTCGGCGAACGAGTTTGTTGCCTGCGTGTGATTTTGTTGCCCGCGTGTGATTTTGTTGCCCTTTCCAAACTTGTTTGTGCCTCAACCAAACTTACGCCTTGTTTTATTCATGTCTTCCACTCATAGTTTATTCATTTATGAATTTACACGTTAATCACCAAACTGAAAGGAAGAATGGATGTGCAAGAAGTGTCCTTGGGGCCCCCCCCCCGCCCCCTTCCCCCCCC